TGACAATACTATGAAATCATTGAAATTTTCGGATGAATGAATCTTCTGTTTTTTTGTGTTGTCTTCAATTAGTGTAGTTTAAAAAAAATAAATTCACTTTTTTGTTTATTCAAAAGATAAACATTGAAAGTTTATCGACGTATATTTGAAATTCAGACATGTTTGTTTTTGAACCAGTGTAGAGAAAGGACAGAAAATCGAAAATTTGTTTCAAATGATACGAGATAAGTATATCAGATTCATTCATCACTGCTTCACAGAGAGATTGATATAAATGGCTAGTTATACAACATAAAAGTGTTTTTCAGTAATATGATAGTCATAATTCGATGTTATCAAAGTTGGAGAACTGATAAATACGTTCTATTTTATTTTATTTTATTTTCTATGTGAAAGTATATATAGATTACAAAGCAAATGAAAAATCTTATACTCACACCCGCGCCCAAAACAATTCTGTTACATAACTCAAACAATAAATTTATTTCGCTCGTTTATTTCATAACAGATTCAATTTTAATGTAAAAATAAGTGGTAGTGAATTATAATCTATGCAGAAAAACAAAATAATTTATCTTCATGAACGACAATCTACTCATAATTTAATTTAACTTTTCTTCACAAGCTTTTATCATAATTCAGAATTTAACCAGGAATATAAATATTATTCTCATCAGATCATGTAACAGTGATCTAAGATTATCGATTTTAAAGTATATAATAGTGACTGTTTCTTTTCTAAGAAAGAAAAGGATGTCGGTGTGGGTATAAAAATAATACATTCACTCACACCCTTGTAATAATTTATTTCATTCTTAACATTGTGCATTCATTTTCGAGGGACATCTTGAATCAATTGAACAGGAAAAAGACAGATGTGCTTGTTCTAATTGCATAAAAATGCTGTGACTATTAATATGTTTATAACGAAAATTTCATGAAAACTTTTCTTTCTTAATGAATTATTCAATTATGAATTTGCTGTGACAAATTGGTTTGATCATATGTAACAGACGCTATATAAATAAACGTTCACTACATTTATTAAACACTCATAAAAATATTTCTAAGAATCAAATGGCATCTCAATTTTTAATATTATTAGCAATTGTTTGTTTGGTACGACTTGGTTGTACTGAACGTATGTGTAAGTTATACACGATATATACTTCGTTTGTTTAAAAATCTATTAAAAAGAACTATGAATGATATTTAAATAATTTACCTCTGAATATACTTGAGTATTTCCAAGGAAAAAATAGCTTGATATCATCTAAAACAGCCAGTTGTTTTCGATAAATTTGATTTTTGATTAAAGAAGAAATCTATATTTTCATTTTTTTATTAGTGATTTTGGACAAGTTCGAAATGCCTGATAATTATTATAAGAATGATTTCTTGGGTGTATCAATTGAAAAGCCTGATGGATGGTATAGAGTACCTGATGAAAAATTACGTTCAACATTCCTAATAGCTTCTAATCCATCGTTTTATGAGAATGAATCAATAAGTGATGTTCTCAATAGAACAAATAATACTCTAATACCATTATTTGGTTTCAGTGAATATCAATTAAGTGTTCAAAACGGAAAATTTAATCCATATATTATTGGATTTGTTACAAGATTAAGAAATGAAACAGCGAAAGAAAGTGAATGCGAAAGTTTTATTCGTTTAGACGACTTTCTTGATAGTACAATACTAATTAAAGACGCGAGTACTTGTTTTGAAGTTAATTTCAATGGAAAAATATATTATAGTGAAGAATTATATTTAAAAAATGGCAACAAGTATTATAGACAAACTCAATATGTTAGACGTAAAAAAAATAATTATGTCTTTACATTTTCATTATTTTACGACGATAAAATTAACAAAATTCAACTTCATAATATTATGAATACATTGAAATTTTCGGACGAATAAATCTTCTGTTTGTTTTTGTTGTTGTGTACAATTAGTGTAGTTTGAAAAAAATAAATTCACTTTTTTATTTATTCAAATAGTACGTAAAAATATTCAAATAGAATTTTCTAAAATATAAACTTCTTTTCAAAGAATTTTTATTGCAAATCAATTTAAATTACAAAAGATGAAGAATTTAACATTTATTTATTCGAATTTTTTATTGGAAATTACTCATTAAATTATAGGTTGATAAGAAAAAGTAAAAAGATTTTTCTTCGTTATTTTCTTATCAAAAATTTATTCGATTTTTTTGTATTGATTTTCAATAATAAAACTTTATTTCTTCTTTTACTTCTCGATTATTTAATCAATAAAAAATTTCATTCACGAAATTAATTCAAATTTTTGAATTCGATGATTAGCCACATCAGCAACATAAAGATTTCCTTCGTCATCAAAAGATAAACCATGGGGATGATTCAATTGATTTGATTGATATCCGCTACCATTTCCACCAACAACAATTTCACCTTCTTCTTTTCCTTCACACCAACGCATTACTCGATTATTTGCAGCATCTGCCACATAGATTTGACCCAAATAATCAACAATAACTCCTCGAGGATTAGACAACTGATCGAGATTGCTTCCTTGACCATTTCCTCCAGCCACAATTATTCCTTCTTTTGCATCTTTTCTCCATTTCATCACACGATGATTGCTCTCATCTGATACATAAACAGATTGATCTTCATCAACAAAGATAGAACGAGGAGCATGAAATTGATTGAGTTGATTTCCTTGTCCATTTCCACCTGCCACTACAATTCCTTTGTCGTTGTATTCTCCCACTTTCCATCGTCTCACTTCATTCTTGTTCCAATTAGAAACATAAAGAAATCCATGTTTATCTATTGCCAAGCCCCAACAGAAAACATTGTCAATGAGAATTTGTTGAGTTTGATTCAACCATTGAATCACTCGTGTGTTCGAAAAATCAGCAATGATGATCGAATGACTTTGTTGATCAACAATCAGATCTGTTGGATAACTCAGTTGATCCATCTGATCTCCTTCGCGATTTCCACCGGCAATGATCTGTCCTTCTTTTGCATTATATTTCCATTCAACAATACGATGATTATTAGAATCAGGAATGAAAATATTTTTCTTTTCATCAATAAAGATTCCATCAGGCCAATGGAGTTGATTTAGTTGTTGTCCTTCTCCATTCCCACCAGCTACAGTGATAGCATTTTGTTTCCATTTAAGATTGATCTTATCTAAAATAAATGAAGTTTTTTGTTTCAAATATCTTGAGAGTGTGGTAAGATTGTTGCATCTATCATCCATTGATTCACTCACTTTTCATTGGTGGACAGATACTTTGATCAGCCATTGTAACTGGATAACAAATAGGCAGATCATCACATTGGGGATGTTGAACACAGATTGTATTCGGTTGATGACATGAATTGTCTGAAGAGTTGCACCGTAAAAGACGAGAACATATCGGCCAGAGGAACCCACAAACGCCTGTATCATTATTGGTACCTATCGTACGAAAGCATCCTCATGCACTGTTTGTCGAGCATTCACTATACTGAGGTGTTTTCTCACATATTTGAGATTTGATTTGAACTATGAAAGTGATATACTAATACATATAAACATAAAAAATAGAATAAAAATCAAACCTGTTGTACTAGAATATAAAATTAATGAATATTAACAAAATGAATGGTAAAAGTCAGTAATTTTTTACCTGAGAATAATAAAAACAATATAGCAATGAATCTTGACTGTATTCATAGTTGATTTTAAAATAAGAGAATATAATGAAAAAATGTGTGTTTTTATTTCTGAAACATAGATAATATCTTAAGCCAATATAATTGAAATATAACAGATGCATTTATTCACATATCAATAAGTGGAAATTTGATATTGGTTTCATTTCTTCTAATCGCTCTGCTTGTATCCTATAACGAATACAATAAAAATGTAATTGAAAAATGCATAGATCATCATGTGATAAAGTTACGATTCAACTGGTATTTGTATATTTTCAAAGAATAAAATATTGATCAGTAACAGTTATTTTCAAGATTGGAAAAAATTACTGCTTTCAAATGTAGTTTCAGATATAATTTTGTCTTATATTTAATAAGAAAAGGAGAATGTTTTGAGTAGCATTTATTCGATATAGTACCAACGCTTAGAAGAAAAGTAAATTCAAAGAAAAAGTAATTCTCAATGAAAAGAATTATTTCTAATTTTATGTCACACCAGCAAAACCTTTATCAGAAATCTCCAACAACTACCTGAAGTGCGGGTATGGGCGTTGATGTGACTATCATGTTCTTTTCAACTACACCCACACTCAGCTATATCACAGGATATTAAAAATATAGATTTCTGTTACATAACTCAAACAATAAATTTATTTCGTCTGTTTATTCCATAATAGATCTAAGCTGAATGAAAATAAGTAATAGTGAATTATAATCTATGCGGGAAAACAAAATAATATATCTTCCGAACGAAAACCTACTCATAATTTAATTTAACTTTTCTTCACAAGTTTTTATGATAATTAAGAATACTAATACTGTTCTCATGAGATCTTGTAATAGTCATCTAACAGTATTGATTTTAAAGTATATAATAATGGCTACTTCTTTTTCTAAACAAAAAAAAGGGTATGGGCGTGTTTTCAGAAAGCATATACCCACGACCATCTTCAAATTGTAGGTTATCTTTGTTTGATTGCTAAGTATTTGCTTTGTTTATAATGCCTTAACGATTTCATGGGTTGTATGAAGAAATAGAGAAATTTTGTAACAGCTTATTTCATTCTTAACAGTGTGTATTCATTTTCGAGAAACATCTTGAATCAATTGAAAAGGAAACAGACAGATGTGCTTGCTCTAATTGGATATTAAAGCTGTGACTAAGAATGTGTGACGAAAATTCCGTGAAAAATTTTTTTTCCTTAATGAATTATTCAATTAGGAATTTGATGTGACAAATTGGTTTGATCATGTGTAATAGACGCTATATAAATAAACGTTCGCTACATCTATTACACATACGAAAATATTTCTAAGAATCAAATGGCATCTCAATGGTTCATATCATTCGCAATTGTTTGTTTGGTACGACTTGGTTGTACTGGACGTATATGTAAGTTACTCTTGATATATACTTCGTTTTTTTAAAACATATTAAAAATAACTATGAATGATACTTAAAGAAGAAATCTATATTTTTTCTTCGGTTTTTAATAGTGCCTTTGGATAATCAACATGCACTTGATAATTATTATGAAAATGCTTTGTTGGGTCTATCAATCGAAAAGCCTGATGGATGGTATAAAATGACTGATGATGAATTACAGTCATTATTCCAAATTGTTACTGGTCCATTGCTTTCTAATAACAATATAACAAGTGACAAGGTAATCCCGTTATTTGATTTCAGTAAATATCAAATTGGTATTCAAAATGGAAAATTTAATCCAAACATTGTTGCAGTGGTTTCGAAATTGACAGATGAAGATATGAAGGAAAGTGAATGCGATAGTTTTATTAGTTCAAACAAATTACTTCAAGGTACACAACTAGCAACAACAGATATAAGTAATTGCGCTAAAGTTAATTTCGATGGAAAAACGTTCTCCAGTCAAATATCACATTTAAGTGTGAACGGCATGAATTTTACACAAGTTCAATTTGTTCGACATTCAAAAAATAATTATTTCTTTACTTTCACATTATCTTACAACGATGAGATTAGCAAATCTCAACTTGACAATACTATGAAATCATTGAAATTTTCGGATGAATGAATCTTCTATTTCTTTTTGTGTTGTCTTCAATTAATGTAGTTTAAAGAAAATAAATTCACTTTTTTGTTTATTCAAAAGATATACATTGAAAGTTTATTGAGGTATATTTGAAATAATGATACATAGGAAGAAAATGATAGTAAGCTGTGAGATCAAGACAGTTCGTATATCAGTGTCTATGAGATTATTAGAAAGGACTTATAGTTGAAATTCAGACATGTTTGCTTTGTAACTAATGTAGAAGAAGGACAGAAAATCGAAAATTTGTTTCAGATAATACGAGATAAGTATATCAGATTCATTCATAACTACTCCACAGAGAGATTGATATAAATGGCTAGTTATACAACATAAAAGTGTTTTTCCGTAATATGATAGTCATAGTTCGATGTTCCCAATGGTTGAGAACTGATAAATGCGTTCTATTTTATTTTATTTTCTATGTGAAAGTATATATAAATTACAAACTAATTGAAAAACCCTATACTCACACCCAAAACAATTTTGTTACATAACTCAACCAATAAATTTATTTCGCTCGTTTATTTCATAATAGATTCAATTTTAATGTAACAATAACTGATGGCGAATTATAATCTATGCAGAAAAACAAAATCATTTATCTTTATGAACAAAAATCTACTCATAATTTAATTTAACTTCTCTTCACAAGATTTTATGCAGAAATATAAATACTATTCGGATGTTTCATATAATGATTTATCTTCAGGAAAATACCAAATACGTTGTTCTCCTTTTGATAAATATGAAGCGAGTCCAGTCTTTGAAAGAGTCCATTTTTTATCTATAAATTCACAATGAGTTAAACTGCAAACACCTGCTCGAATTGGAGACATATCCCATGTTGATGTATTGTTTTGTTCTTGTATTGTTGTAATTTCAATTCCTTGATTATGTTCTTTAGTAATTGTTATCAATGCTCTTACACCTTCGACTAATGTTGCTGCATGAGTAATAATTAAAATATTACAATCATCCGTATGAGCATCTAATGTACATTGTAAAACTCGTTTCAGACGATCACGTAATTGTTGACGAGTTTCTCCTTTTACTTGTAAATAATAATCAGGTTTAAATATACTCTGATAATCTTGATCAAAATATTCGATATATTGTAAAATTTCAGTGTGTTCATCCAATGGTTGAAAGATATTATTTTCATTCCACATAGCATCAGAACCGTGAAACTCACCATAGCCTGGTTCTAATCGAATTTTTATCAAGTCATTATTTGATAGAACATTCTTATTTAACTCTTTAGCGACTTGTAATGCTGTTTGAATAGTACGTAAAAATGGTGATGCATAAATATGAGTTATACGTGGTTTTAATTCAGTAACATATATTCCAAGTTCATGTGCTTGTTGAAGACCATAAGATGAAAGTGGAGAATCATACTGTCTTTTCGCTGTTTCAATCCATGTCCTATCAATCCAATCAGTACGTTCACCATGTCGAGCAAAATAAATATTTTTTGTTTGTACTGTTGCCATTGCTTTCAGTGTATATAAATATTTTACATGTGCTTCTTCTATACTCGCTATACTTTTTCTTTTTCTTCTTGCTCGTTAAGGGCAAAACGTGTCGATAAGCGCAACTTCAACTAATAGCTACATAATACAGTCATGAAGCAATACTACGATTAATCGTACAGTTATTATTATTTGCGTTTACTATTACCATATATAAAAGTTGGATATTTATTAGCTAGGATCAAAACCAATTCATGCTAACGTATGTACTTCATACAATTCACTATATTATTTTCATTGCAAATATCTTTAAATAGTCAGGAATTTATCGCGATTAACAATAGTTTTCATTGTGAAATAGATGTCACTATTAAAAATTGATTTATTTCGTTAAAAATGAATAATTTTCTATACATGATTATAAATAAAAAAAATATTATTCTAATGTTTTATTTCATTTCTTGAACAGCTTTCCATGATGGTCTTGATGATATTCTCTCCCACCATTGTTTAACATTAGGTCTTGATTCAAACAGATCACCATCACCAAATTTAATAATAAATTGAGCACAAGGTAAATGAAATAAATCAGCCATAGTATATACCTATGATATTTTAAAATAAAAAGTAATAGAGAAAAAATTTTCTACTTACCTGTCCAGCTAGATATGGTTGTTTCGAAAGAATATTTTCATATACATTCAATTTTGAACCAAGATCTTCTCTATACTGCGCTACTTTAATTGGATCAGGTTCTTTTTGATAGAATATCCTATTTAAAACAAATGAGATACAAAGATCTTTTTATATTGTATTTACTTTTTGACAACCGTCTCTCTAATTAAAGCATTTGCAGGTGGATCGAAATTAAATGCTTCAATATTAGCAGCTTGTTCAAAGAAAGCACGTGCTTGAATATCTTTTGATGGAATCAATTCCGTACCTTTGCCTTTATATTTTTCTTCCAAATAACGACAAATAGCTCTTGATTCTAAAAGTATTTTACTTTATTAAAAAGAAAAAAAATTTCTTGATACTAACCGTAGATTTTAAAACCATCTACATCAATAAGTACAGGAAATAGACCAAATGGTTGCATTCCTTCTACATATTGACGTGACTATAATAGAAGAAAATTATTCTCGATTTCTTTTTTTTTGTTGTTTAAATTACTTTCTGTTCACTTTCCATAATTTTCAATGGTTTAAGTTCATATTTCAAACCTTTTTCTGCAAGTGTAACTAAAACACGTTGTGTATTTGTTGATAATACTAAACCATGAACAATTATACCGCCTTTTGATGTCTAAGAAATATATATATAATTAGATAAAAGAAAAAAAATTATAATTATTCTTACTTCAATATCATTCGGCGCAGGCACTGTCGCCCTACGTGTTAAATTACTAGCTGTACCGCCCATTATTTGACTTGTTTAATAAGTAGAAGATGATCTGAGACTTTCAATGGAATTTATATAAATTTTATATAAAAAAAATGCCTCATCATCCTATCATGTACATTCATAGATAAGCTTAATTAAAATCTTACACAGTCTACTTAACAATGTCAGAAAAAGAAGAAAAAACGTTGTCATGATGATGTCACTATTATAATGTATCTCTTTTTTTAGAGCAATGAGTAATTAAAATAGACTTATATTTTTATTCTACAAAAAAAGTCATTCCAATTGGTTTTATTTCGTTCCGGAAGTAAAATCGTTATCGCCATGATAGAATTCGATCGATTTTTCCTAGAGCAGGCAGTATTTTAGTTATGAATTAAATTTACACAATGATCATGACTCATATTTAATCTATTCTTTTCTAAAGTGAAAAATTGTGTTAGTGACAGTATCATGACAAGGTTTTTTGCTTCTTTCTCATATTCTCGATTAGAATTAATTTCATCATAGCATCAATATCCGATTATGTTATTATAATGAATCATTTTTTACTTAATGTCAATAAATTTTAGATGAGATTAAAATTATGAGTAACGGTTCAAGAAATAATTTTGTAAGACGTGTTATCAGTCTTAACCAAAAAAAAAGAGATAATGAGTAAATTTGTAGAGATTAATTCATCTTTTAAAGTGTAGGAACGAAAATATACTCTCATTCATCTTATATTTGCAACGACATCTACTTTCAAGATCGATATATTAAATATTTCAAGAAATAATTCAAATTAGATCGTCTTTTTTTTTGAAAAATTTAGCTAAAGTAAATCAATTGTTTTGAAGGTGTAGAAATTTCAAGATTTACATTCAAACACCAACCAAAATTAATCTAGATCAAATAATCAATACAACATGATGAATTCTATATTGACAATTTGATTTGACTGATACACAAATAATCCAACGTGGACTGATTCATATAAAAATTATTTTGTCTTAGTGACATTATACTAAACAGAAGATAAGCACGAATAGAATGAATAATCATTGATTATTATTAATATTTATTTAAATTTCGAGACGTGAGAATATGACTTTTTTTTTTAGGAAACTAACATCAATATTAGTACGTGTATTCTCTTATGTTGAACTAAGAGATAGAGAGATAATTATTCTAAATGCACATAGAAGAAAAAGAGATAGATATATAATAGGAGAAATTTAAGCTTATTTTTATATCATATCTAATCATTTTAGATCTTCATTTCGGCATTATTGACTTTGTGATATATATGTAAGTATTATTCGAAGAATTTTTAAAAAATCTTAATGTGAAGTTATTTTTTTTTCTAGAGAGAACCTATCGATTACGAATAATATGGAAAAAATTGTTCAACAATTACGAACTGAAGCTAATATTCAACCAATAAAAGTATCGCTAGCATGCAAAGATTTAATTCAATACTGTCAAAATCACGAACATGATGATGTACTTGCACGTGGCTTCGACAAAACTCCAAATCCATACGCCATGAAAAAAAACCCATGTGTTCTCATATAAAAATCGAACATCTTATTAATAAAATGATTACTTTATTCTCTTGCTAATCATTTCTATTTGTTTGAAAAATTACATCTGTGAACATATATTTATATTTATTATGCTTTTTGTTTTAAAAATTATTTATGAAAAAAAAAAAAGTTGAAGTTCATTTAAGAATATTTATAATTCGAGTTATTATTCTGAGGAAGACCATATTCTGCTGCATTAGGTCGTTGCTGATTATTAATTGGCATATTTTTTTCATCCCAATCATCAAACCAACTATCGATTCCACCTAATAGAATTTTTACTATATACTATAAAATAAAAAAATATAGAAAATTCTAAGAGAAAAATCAATAAGAACTTACATCACCGAAACTGAATGCCATGTTAGTACCACGACAAGCTTGAATTTGTTTTCTTTCACTTCGATAATCATCAACAACATCAAGATTTGGAATTTTTTTATCCCAATCATTCAAATATGCCATAGATTCATCATCATCTAAAATATTTTTTTTATAAAATATCAGTTGATTTACTCGAATATTTTCATTTTACCTGTACAAACAATAAATGTAACTGGAATTTGATTTGTAGGTTTACGTTCATTTTTAAGAACATGCTCTAATGTATGAATATCTGTACGTTCTCTTTCATCTGTTGGTACCCCATCAGTAGCTATCAGAATAAGTAAGTTCCGTTCATAAATTTGATTACGTTTATCTTTAAGGACTTGTCGAAGAACAGGTACGATTGGTGTTGCACCTAAAATTTATTTAAATTGAATTATTGATGAATAATTTAATTTTCTATTTACCTTCTGGATCCATAGCAAAGACAATCTCTAAGTCTGATGAATTACGTACATTTAACATTGGTTCACGATTAAGAAAGTAGACGTCAACACCATCGGTATCAAGTATACTAGCTAGTTCAACAACAATTGATACTGTTTGCTTCAGTTCATCCCCTATAAAAAAAACTAATTTTAAAAGATTCTTACAGTAATATATATTTAAATCATACAACGTGTTCTTTGATTTTGTAATGGATTGGTATTTTCACCTGAAAAATCAATGTATTCATACATAGATTAAGAAGCATATAATCTAATAACTCACCAATGGGTGCAGTCATTGAACCTGAGTCATCACAGATAAAAACAATTTCATAACCTTTAAGTTTATGTAATCTTTCAGCAAAACTTGGACTAACTAAATAGATAAATATTTTTATGATGCATATCTTACAAAATATACTTACTTTCGTAACGATTGACAAATTGATCAAAATTAGGTGAGCGTTGTTCATTTGATATCGGATTATTTTGGTTTGAACGATTATCATTGACAACGGACTGATAAGGTGGTGGTGGAGCTGATGGTTGCGACTGATTGTATGGATTCATTCTATTAACAATGTATAAAATGAGTAACATTTATTCATACGTCAATAAAACAACTATTTGCGTTAGAAGAACGCAAAAGATAAATAGAATACGTTACAACGGCAAGTAACTGCTAGTATAAAGAAGAAAAATAATTTTGTTTTTTTATTGACTCTTTTTTATGAGTAAAATTCGAATAATTTTATCTAATTAAAACTTAGAAGATCTTCCGTTTTTTTAGTAACTCAAAAAAAAATTCTATCAATCGTTCTAATTGCAAGTGCAAATATCTCTCGGTTATATATTTCGTTGCTTATAGACGATACTCACTCTTAAGTAATATTATATTCGAATGGAAAAAGTGATTCATCCATTTCAATATTTGAGACTACCATAGCCATAGCACTTACCTTCAACTATCCAGTAAAATTTTTTTCCTATTTATGTACGAAAGATAAGGACATCTGCAGTACATAATGTGAGCGATAAACAATGTTCGACTGATGAATGACGTTAAAAAAATGTCATATACTTGTAATAAAGAATGTGAGAAGATAAAACTAAATTATAGAATTTTAATTTTTCATACAGTTGAATTTCTCTGCAATAAATATTCTAAGTTCCAACGATAGATAAGTTATACAGTTTATAAGATCAATTTTATTATTTTTGCTCAATACAATCAATCATAACTTGATATTTTTTTATTCTTAAATCAAAAAGAAAAAAAAAGAACGTATAAAACTATATTTTTGAAGCTTCTCATATGTCATGGTTATTTAATATGTAATTACGTGAAGACACATGATAAATATTCAAATACCTAGATACAGTCAATATAGATATTTATCTATATCACGACTCATGACTTAACAAAAAATAAGGTAGAATATTTTTATGCTTTACTATCTATAATATTTATCTCTACTTCCGAATCCTCATTAGATCATGTTAATGAGAATATGCGCAGTTACATATCGCTTTTGATAAGTCATGCGTATACTCGGAAGTAGAAATAGGTATTTAAAATCGATGGTTTGAGCAATATACATACATTCTGTATTCAGTTGAAAAACAAACAGGTAACGTTTGAGTTATTTTTTATTTAGGAAGATGAATTATAGACGATTTCTGTGCTTTATTGTCTTGGCAATATGTTTCATTAATATGGACGCTGCTCCACAGACTTATGCAGACAAGAGTGATGCTTTGACACAACAGCTTATAGAAGAGGCAAAGAAAAACCTTGGTTTGGATGTTGATCAATCGAAAATTCAAGTTACCAAGCCATCACAGGAAAATGATGATATTATTGTCAGTGTTCCTTTAGTTGATACTGTAAAAACAACTAGCGATGAGCTTAAACAAAATGACATTTACGTCAGTTACCAATGTATGGATACAGAAAAGTTAAAAGGTTGTTTCAAACTGAAATTAACAAATGCCAATGAGAAAGAAGCAGAATTTGCATTGGTAGATAATGAAGGTAATACAATTGCTACTACTACTACTACAGCAAATCCACCTGAAATTATTATACGACGCCCGTGCATTATGGTCTGGTACAATGGTAGATACCTTGGTTGCTTTGATGTAGTTATTATCATAGTACGTATTACGGTAAATTCCAATATTATGCATGAATAAAACGGATTATCTCAAGTTCAAATAACAACACATACATTCTTTTAGTTAGCATTTAAAAGTTTAATTATTGTGCTTTTTTTCATATCCTATTTTTATTTTCTCAAATAAATCAAATTTTTTAATCAGACATAAAATTCAAGAATTTGTCTTTGATAATTAACAGTCACTTCTCTTTTCTAAATACAAGGCTAGATAAATACTGATTTTCACTAATATAAATCACACAAAATAACAACTGCTCTTGAATCTATATTGTTAGAAAGAAACTGTTCGATTCTATAATATAATTCGATCTGTTTCGTTGCTATAAAACGAAAAGAATTTTAATATTTTCAACATATTTAATAATTATCAAATCAATTCAATTAGAACTCAACGAATTCGATAAGTATATATACAAAGAAAACTCTATAAATCATCGAATAGCAGTAGTCGATCAGTCTAATTGACGAAGAATTACACTGCCTTATATTATTTTGAAAAAAATTAGAATTTAAAAGACATCCTTTAATGAACGAATGAAACTATTATATCCATCTATCGTACTAAAAACCCATCGACTTTCATAGCCACATCATCTCTCAGGATGAAACGAGGGAGAGCGAAAATCTTATTAATCTTTATCTTATATTTAAACACCAAAAAATTCATTAAACTTTAGATATACGACAACTGACGATAGTTGATAAGTTAAAAATAGTAACAAGCAGAGTCATAGTTTTAAACAATATATATAACTGTCACATTGCACTGAATTGTAATATTTTATTACATGAATGCCAAATCTATTATCGGCACTGCTGGTTTTTCCATTTGGTTACAGAATATTTATCATTTGTTTCATAACAAGATTAAAAAAAAGTCTTTTACTTCTTTTCTTTATGAATAATATAGAAATTATTTTCATACATGAGTCATATATGATATATTTTTTATTTGATTATTTAACATGTTTTTTGTCGTAATGCTTTTTCTTTCGTTTGTTTATTTTGATTAATATGTGCATTGAAGCATAATAATATCATTTTCTATCAACCTATAAGAAAAAATAATTACACTGCATTTACCTGTCACATGTTTTCTTGTCAATGATCGATTAAATTGAATGTGTTTAACTATTACTTTTTTTTCAGAGATATGAATCATAATCAAGCAAATTTCTTGTATTCATTAAAACCATTGACATCCATTCAATTACCGGACACTTCACAAATAATAACAACATGTGAAATTAAAGAAATATATGATAAAATTATTCAATTACAAACAAAAATTACTGATAATGTTTTTCAGTGGGATACAACTGAACGACAAGAATTTTGGTTATCTATTATGGATATATGGATTGAATTAACAAAGCAAAGTGCTAATATTACTTATAATAATTTATATCTTTTAACTGATTGTTTTAATAGAATATCAGCCTTATGGCAGCAATGTGTAGAATCGAAATCAATTATTGATATCAATGATAATCACACTATTGAAAAAGCATTTTCATCTTGTTTAATGATGTTAGATATATCTCATATTCATAATTATCTATGTAAAATTGATGAAATATCAAATGAAACCATTATTCCATTTAATGTTCATCTTATTTTATCAGTTGCTAGTTATTTTGCCCGTTATCTTTCATCGAATCATAGTTGGATATTTAATGATCGAATGAGAGTATTAATTATATTAATAAATTATGTAGAACAAAGAATAAAATTAATTAAAACACTTTCAGGATCAATTGTTGAATGTATTATAAATCTCTTTTGGAATCTTAGTGATCGAATATTTTTAGTACCAATATTAGTTCAGATTAATCTACCAAAGAATATCGTAAACTGGTTATCATATTCATATGAACATTGCGTATCATTTATTTCTATAATACATAATCTATCACGTCATGATGAAGGAGTTGATGCACTTAATAAATGGAATACGATTGAAATTATTAAAAATTATCAAAACGAGTATGTAAAGATTTTGTTCATATGATAAAGATAATTTTTTGAGATTTATTTTGTATAGAAAATCATTTATGATAAATATGGAAAGATTATTATTAATATCGATGATTTTAGCACAATTATCTTCACCTGAACAACTTAAATGTGATAAAAGAATTATGAATGGTGTATTAAATGAATTATTACAACGAACAATGAATGCAGCAAAAAATGAAAGCTTTTCGGATGATACTGGTTTTCATATTAGTGAATTTTTAGCTGTTATGGTTAAATTATTTGTTGTAGAAGAACGTACACTTGATTATATATTATGTCATGCTGAAACAGAACCATCATCAGATTTATCATCAGTAATTCAATTATTTACTTCACTTCTTATGTCATTTAATGATGCATTAAATAAGCAAAATCAACTTGAACAATTAACATTAATTATAATTGTTAATATTCTATGGAGTATTTCATTTCAAACACAATATCTTCAAGAATTAATAATTAATAATAAAGAAGCTCTACTTATTATTGAAAGCTTAGCCGAAAATAATAATAAAGAAGTAATTAATCAATATAAACCTCGATCAATAGAAAGTATACATGTTGCTGGTCGTGGAATAATTCATAATATTCAAAAATATTCGGAATCTCATACTGTATTAAATCATATACAAAATGAAATAACTAATAAACAATCGATAAAAAGGTACGTATATACTGGGGGCAAAATTAGAATCTGGTGTGGGTGCGAGTGAATGTGTTCGTCGATATTCCCTGCATTTAACACCCACATCCACATCTACATGCACCCACCCAAACTCACCCATATCTACATTCACCCACCCACCCATATCCATACGCACCCACCCACACCCTCCAATTTTGCCCCCAATATATAAAATTGTTTATCTAGCTAGAATTATATATTTCTTTTGTAGTGTTAAACCATCTGTAATGATAAGTTATTCGCATGATAATAAAATATTTTGTGATAAACTTGTTGATTTTTTATCAACTAAACAAAATGTATTTGATATGTGGATTGATCATATGAATTGTCACACAGCTTCTGATCTTTGGGAATCAATTGCTATTGGAATAGAACAAGCAAATGTAATTGTATGTCTTATATCGAATTATTATTTTGAAAGTAAATCATGTCGTCAAGAATTTGTCTATGCAACAGATACACTTCATAAATTAATTGTTCCTGTTCTTTTAGAAAAATTTAAACCTAAAGGATGGTTAGGTATATTGAATGATTGTCTTTGATGTAATGCGATTGAATATATATATATATATTTTCTATTATAGGTATTCGAATTCCTGGTATTAAATATGTACGTTTTCAAAATATCGAAGAGTTAGATCAATTAAAGTTGATGGATTTATTAGATACAATTCAAGCAACTCTTTCGTTAACTATGTCTCCTATTGATAATTCATCTACACTTCAACAGAAAGAATATTACGAACCAACAGCATCATATTTACATACAGTTCCTACTTCCAATCATCGACTACGAATTAATCAATGGTTATTAGCATCAAAGGATGATATTGACGCATGGTTTTCTCATCATCACATTTCAACACAATTATGTGATCTTTATGATTTTCAAACAGGTCAAGAAATGCTTCATTATGGTAAACAACTGATTCAGAATTATGATAAACATCTAGATATCTATTCAAAAGCATTCGTTAAAAAATATAATGGTGATGAATTACTTCCACATGAATTTCAACGATTTACTGAAGCTATTAAAGAATTACTTGAAAACAATATGACATCTGTTGTTTCTTCTTAATAGTAAAATATACTAAGATGCAAAAGTCTTTGCTCTGTGCATAAATCAACTTTCTGCAAGCATATCTCTGGAAGTTTTTGAAGAGATTTTTCGAGAACTTGCTACAAAGTAGAGTAAGATCTACAGAATTATAACTATGTAAATTACGAAATCGATCGATACTGGCGCTTGTAGAACGATAATAATTCTAAACTTGAGGGCGTGGGTGGGTGTGAATGTCGATCATTCGTTTTCCAGATTGATGTTCTCATCCACACCCACATCCCGTCCACTTCCTTAGCCTCTCACAGACACCCATCCCAATTTTGCACTAATTTTTCAGCCAAGCATCAACAATTCTTGGTTTGCTCTCCTGGTGAAAGAAAATTCTGTGTTGTCCTTTGTTGCTGCACTTAAGAACAATTTGAAGAAAAAAAAAACGTGCAGCTCTTCATTGACGACCATAAAAAAAAGCAGGGAGGAACGAGTTGAAAAAAAGAAAAGACAAAAATTTACATAAAAGTAGTTGCGCTTTTTCTCTCATCAAGTAATACGTATTCTTGTCACATTACGACATAGCAACTACAACACGCAGTATGGACAAAAAGAACCTTGCGACAACAAGCAGCACTACTAATAAGGAGAAGGACGAAAAAGTGCTAACTGTTTTAGAAGGGAGCACTGGTATGAATCCCTCGTCATCAAAGCAAGTAACAACTGATCAGACGATTAGCGATGCATCTCAAAATAAAATCAAAAATTTATCATTGACTACTTCTGGCGAAGGTATGAAAAAATAATGATTACAGTTGTATGTTAAGATGCAGGTTCTTGGGATTTACTATAAAAACTTGAGTATAGGCCAGACAACGCTATATCTAGGTTTTTGTTTTCGGATGTGCTAACTAAAATTGTGGGTGGGTAAACCGGCTGTGACGATGAGATTGTGAGTGGTGAGCATCATTTAGAGTGAGGCTTTAGAAAGGAAAAGGTCAGCACCCACATTTATCTACTAGATACATAGTCATCATAAGACTGTGTCCATTAAATGATCATAATAGACTACTGTTAGTTATACTAACGTCGTGTTACTTGTCAGTGATACATGTTACTCTATTTTTTCAGGAACCGAACAAACATCGATAAAGCAAGTGCCATCAAGGCCAATACATATGCAAATTGCTCAAAACTTTCTTCTCATCTGGCTTGATTCGTTGATTGATATAAAGAATAACCGCTGTGAACGTTGCCTGGCGAGATTACGACGAATCGTTAACACAACTGAAACATTCACACATGCCGACGTATGTGTCAATTTCATCAACGAACATCAAGATGAAAATATTTTCATAATCACATCTGGATCTCTTGGAATGAATGTTGTGCCGCGCATCCACCATATGTCGCAAATTGACTCCATTTACATATTTTGCGGTGATAAATCTGAACACGAAAAATGGACTCATGAGTGGACAAAGGTAAGGGGTGTTTTTACCGACATAAGACCCCTCTACAAAGTTTTGCAACAACACACGCGTCTGTACGATCGAGACTCAACATCAATTACCATCACAAATGCTCAAAATTCGGATGAATTAGAACCCACATTTATGTACACCACACTGTTTAAAGAATGCATTCTAGAAATTGAATACGATAACGATGAGATCAGTAAATTGGCAAGTGAATGTCGTACACTTTATCAAGAGAATGACAAGGAATTAGAGATAATCCATGAATTTGAAAGTAAATACTATGAGCATACTGCTGTCTGGTGGTATACTCGAGAATGTTTCATCTATCATCTACTCAATCGTGCTTTGCGAATCTTCGACACAAGTATGATCGTTATGATGGGATTTTTCATTCAAAGTCTTCACCGTCGTATACAACAACTTCATGCAGAACAACAACATTTATTCACAGACGATTTTACTGTCTATCGAGGTCAAGGTTTATTGAAAACGGACTTCGCAAAATTGCAAGCCTCTCCTGGCGGCCTTTTAACCTTCAATAACTTCCTTTCCACTAGCAAGAATCGTGACATTTCGATAAGCTTTGCCCAAGCAGCTCCTGAGAAACCAGATCACGTCGCTGTTCTCTTCAAGTTAACGATCAATCCATCGATTCCATCATCGCCATTTGCCATCATTACGGACGAGGGTTTCTATGCTCCACAAGAAGAAGAAATTCTTTTTTCCACAAATTCTATCTTTCGTATCGGTTCCGTGAAACAATCTGAAAGCAGCCATGCGCTATTCGAAATAGAACTGATGCTCATCCCAAACAACGACGCACAGCTTACCAGTCTTACTCAGAGCATTCGGAAAGACATTTCCAGCACGACTGGATGGCACCGACTAGGCGAGTTACTGCTTCGATCTGGTGATCCATCCAAAGCTGAAGCTCTATACCAACGTCTACTCCAGAATACATCGGACAACGATTTGACTGAGTTTTCATTTTTAAATCATCAACTCGGGAAAGTGTATTCGAATATGGGAGAGTACTCCAAAGCACTCGACTACTATAAGAGAGACTTGGAAATCATGCAAAAATCACTCCCTCCAACGCATCTTGATTTGGCTCACAGCTACAACAACATCGGTCTCGTCTATTTCAACATGGGACAGTATTTCAAAGCACTTGAGTGCTATGAAAAAAGCCTAGAGATAAAGACGAAATCGCTCCCTCCGACACATCTTGATTTGGCCCATAGCTACAGCAACCTCGGTGGACTGTATACCAATATGGGACCGTATTCCAGATCACTCGAGTATTATGAGAAAGCACACAAGATCTATGAGAAATCTCTCCCTCCAACGCATCCCAGCTTGGCTACCAGTTACAGCAAAATCGGTCGAGTGTATTGCAACATGGGAGAGTACTCTAAAGCACTCGAGAACCATGAGAAAAGTCTAGAAATAAAGACAAAATATCTCCCTCCAACGCATCCTGATTTGGCTCACAGCTACAGCAACATTGGTCTAGTCTATTCCAACATGGGAGAGTACTCCAACGCACTCGAATACTATGAGAAAGTACACAGAATCTATGATGAATCTCTCCCTCCAACGCATCTTGATTTGGCTCACAGCTACAGCAACACCGGTCGAGTGTATTGCAACATGGGGCAGTACTCCAAAGCACTTGAGTGCTATGAGAAAAGTCTAGAAATAAAGATGAAATCTCTCCCTTCAACACATCATGATTTGGCTCACAGCTACAACAACATCGGCCTAGTCTATTCTAACCTAGGAGAGTACTCAAAAGCACTCGAGTACTATGAAAAAGCATACAAGATCTATGAGAAATCTCTACCTCGAACGCATCCTACTCTAGCTACCAGCTACAACCGCATCGCCCAAGTGTATTTCAACATGGGAGAGTACTCCAAATCACTCGAATACTATGAGAAAGACTTGGAAATCACGAAAAAATCTCGCCCTCCATTGCATCCTGATTTGGCTACCAGTTATAACAACATCGGTCGAGTGTATTCGGACATGGGAGAATACTCCAAAGCACTCGAGTATCATGAGAAAAGTTTAGATATAATGAAAAAATCTCTCCCTCCAACGCATCTCAGTTTTGCGGCAAGTTACAGTTACCTTGGAAGATTGTATCGTTCGTTCAAAGATTATGACAAAGCTCTAAACTATTTCGAGGAAACGCTCAAAATTGTGAGAGAAATACTACCAGAGAAGCATCCAAACTTGGCAGTAACATACAGCAACATTGGAGATGTTTATCGACTGACCGGAGATACGAAAGCGGCGCTGTTCTTCTTGCAAAGGGCGCTTGAAATTCAGACAAAGATAGCAGTGGACCGTGCTTCTTTGGCTTCGACATACAATTACTTAGGAGAAACGTATCATCTGATGGAAGAGTATTCATTAGCATTGGATTTTCATGAAAGAGCTCGACAAATTCGTCAGGAATCTCTCCCTGCAACGCATCCTGATTTGGCACAAACACGACACAATCTGGCAAGAATCTACATGGAAATGGAACAGTATGAAGTGGCCTATGAACATGCCCAGCGCGCTGTGGAAATCGCTCGACAGAAGCTGTCGGAAAAACATCCAGATCTCTTAGAATACACAGAAACATTGTCAGAACTACAAAAGAAGTTGTAAACATGCTTTACTCGTTGACGGTGTGGGTGTGCATGTGTATGATTTATTAGCCGAATACTACACCCACACCCACCTTGACATATATATTTTTTAAAATAAAGAAAGCGTTAGGTAACACCAGAAAACCAATCTGTATCACCAGCAGTTCTAAAACAATAAGGAATAAAAAAGAATCTATACTGCCGACAATAGTAATTCCTTCACATGAATACTTACCGAAATAGCCAATTTTCTTCAAAATCTATCATCCATTCTGTATCTTCCCATAATTTTAAATCAGTATAGCGTGGAATAGTTAAATTTAATTCTTTCATAACCATACTCATTACTTCATCACATCGTGCAAATATTCTCAATGCACATTCCTCATCATATGGGGTCTTTTGTAAATCTATATAAAATAGAAATATGCCTATATAGAAAAATCTACAACAAAAATCTTACTAACAATAACCATTTTTTGTCCAGATTTTAAATTCATACATGGTAATTCACATGCAGGTGAAACTCGCATTGATGTTCCCATACATAAACTTAAATCGCATATTTTCGATTCTTTAGTTGCTCGATCTAAAGAAATGTCTGGTATCGACTGAGAAAATGCAACAGTTGTACAACGTAAACGACCGTTACAATTAGGCTCAATACACTTGTTTCCTGTTAACCATGTTTTATGTTCATATGTATCGATATGTGTTTGTCTATAATAAACTTTTCCACATTTTGCACATGCTTCACAGTGGCGATTGCCATGTAATTCAGCAATTTTTTCTATTGGTACTCCACTTTTAAGATGAAGACCATCACAATTTTGAGAAACTAAAAATTTTAGATGACCATTTCGCATTAATTCAACTAAAGCCATATGTGTCAATGTTGGTTCTGGATTCGAAACTGTCGATCGCGATGAAACAAAACCTCTTGCTCGAGCTGTCCAAACACCATTAGGACCACGAAAATCATTGATACCAGCTGATGTCGATATACCTGCTCCAGTGTAAACAATGAAATGTTTTGCATTGCGAATGAAATTTGCTAAAGTTTTGATTTTCTTGTCAAGTTCATCTGTAGACATAACGATATAAAAGAAAAATTATCAATATTCATGACTCTACCTGGTGAATCGAAATATTCCTGAATTTCGTCATCATTGAGTGCAGTATGTGCCATAATCAAAAAAAACTATTGAAAGAACAAAAAAAGAAATATAATTCACCAGAATTGCATATTTACGTGAAATTACAAACACATCAACTGTAAGTTACGTATTTCTTAAGAAATATAATGAATCATAGACTTTCGGCGATTTTATTAGATTATTTCTCAAACAGGATAAAAAAGTATATTTCAAACAATATACCATAACAAATAATCGTTTCTCCTTGCAATTGTCGTCATCATAGAATACATTAGTACGTGTTCATTCGTAATACACTCCTTTAAAAAAGATTTTTTTTTCACAAATATATCGTAGGACGTTCGCCTGTAATAGGCAAAATAAAATATTTCCAAAATCTATATTTGAAGATTTGACTGAATCATTTTTTCATCTAATAAATATTTAAACAGAGTATTATTGAGAGAAAAAAGCATTGAAGCAAATCGGTAAAAAAACGTGTTTGCGTTCGTTTTATTCTTGCTTTCTTTTCTTTTTGATGCACGAAAGAATGTTATTATCGATAACATTCTTTTCTTTTTCGCCTAGTAAGGGGAGAAAAATACTTTTTGTTCTGTTTATTTAGGAGTCATTTTTGTTATTCGTTATTCCCGGGTAACACTTGTTTTTTTCTCGATTCTGAGATATATGCACTTTTAACCATATAACCTCTCACATACTCAACACTATTCCAATACACAGAATATAACGAAACATGTGTCGATGGTTTGCTTATATTGGTGAAGAACCTACTCTACTCGAAGATGTCCTTATTAAACCAAAACATTCTATCGTCAAACAAATTGATGTACATTTTCTTCCAGATCTTCACGTTACTTATGATCCTCATCATCATCGAAGGATGCTCAGTTCGGGTGTAGCATCTGATGATCATCCTCCAAATCATTTTACAAATATTGATGGATTTGGTATAGGTTATTATACAGGTGTCGCTGCTGAATTTAATGATGATAATGTGAATAGACCTTGTGTTTATCGAAATATTCGTCCACCACTTAATGATCTTAATTTAGCATCATTATGTGCTCATACATCAACAAAATGTGTATTTGCACATCTTCGTGCCGGTACACCAATCGTTGAAACAAACAATCATCCATTTGTTTTTGGTCGATATATGTTTATGCATAATGGAGTCGTAGCAAATTTCTTAAAAATTAAAGTCAAATTATTACAGAAATTATCAGCCAAAGCTTATGGAAATATATTTGGAACAACAGATACAGAACATGTAGCTGCACTTTTTTTTACACATTTAGGTGACGATTGGGATACAGAATTAACAATCGATCAACTCAAACAAGCGATGATAAAGACTCTTCAAAATATACTTGCTTTAATTGAAGAATGTACGAAAGATAATAATGAAGAACCTCTCAATAGTTCTCTTAATTTTTGTGTAACTGATAGTTGTCATTTATTGGCTATTCGATTTTCATCATTGGATAAATGTGAACCACCATCGTTGTATTATTCAACGAAAGCTGGTCCTACTCTTAACCGAAAATTTCCAGATCATCCTGATGGAAAAGAAGTTCGAAAGAATTCAATACAACCTACTGAAAGTCATGGAAAACATGTTATTGTAGCAAGTGAACCTAATACATATAAATCGCAAGATTGGCATGTAGTTCCACCGAATTCATTCGTTCTTGTTAATAAAGATTTAAATGTTGTTATAGAAAAAATTAAATTATAAGTTTTTCTTTTAATAATTATTTCAGCAATAAAAGTTTTATATTTAATTAGTTATATTATAATTTGTAATGAATCTACTATAGCACTTCCACGATGAGGAGCCAGTTCGATTATTAATGTCATAGTATCAGATACAAGAGATGTTCGAGTAAAGGAAATATTAATACTTTGTACTGTATTAGGACGAACACGATTCTCTCGGACAAAGACAAATCCATCAGCACTAGTCATAATTGTTGTTATATCTATTCCGCTAATTGAATATTGTATAAACCATGCATTTTGCTGAGGAGATGACATAAGAACTCGAATACAAGCAGCATAATCAAGCCATGGACTATAATTAGCTATTTGGAGAGTGTAATTCATAGTTGTTCCAATTGGTATGTCTGATCTTAATACAAAATCTTCTCTTATGTAAGTAAATTGTCCAATTTTTCCTTCATTAATGTATAAATCAAGTGTGTTATCTTCTCCATCTCGATGTTTTAGTGCATAAAACGCCATACCAGTTGTTGTATTAGCTGGATAACCATTGATTTGTTCGGGAACAGCTGGAATAGTATTATCAGCATATTCAAAAATAATCCAAATATCTGGATCGGCATCATTATCTTCATGTTCTTGTATTGCAGATATGCCTAGAGTGACAAAATCTCTAGTAGAATTATATGTAACAACACCAGCTCCATATGGACAAAGCATAACTGCTGCCTGTTTACCAATACTATGTGCATATTGAACAACTGAATAACTACCTTCACGCATTTGTTGAAAATCATTTTGCCAAAAACCTAGTGGACCATCTGTTGAAACACCATCTGATTGATTTATCCATGCTCGATATTGTGCATTCGAATAAGGTCCACTACCAGAATCATTAGAAATATTTCCTGATATTGTCCATGGACCAATTTGAACGAAATCAGGTCGACGAATAATATGTTCAGTTAAATTATAATAACCTAAAATTTCATCACGTTCTAAAGTCCATCCATAATTTTGACTCGTTTGAGTAATATTCCATCCTACACTATGAAATGTGTCTATTGCTATTTTATCTTTATTCAATGGTTGATGATCTGGATCAGCATCACTTTCATAATAAATTGATTTATTTTTGAAGAGTTTAAAAAATCCAGCTAAATCATCCACACTCAATATATCATCGATTTCAATAAAATTTACATAAAAACCATCGGCATTCTCTTGAACATAAGTCCATTGAGAGTTATTCGTGAGCAGTTGTTGGACAAGTTCAGCTTCACCATAGTAGATTTTCTGTTTTGCTGTTGAACTTATACCGAACAGTGCAGTAAAATAGAAAATAGTTAATTGAATGTAAGGATATCGTAAAAACATGTTTTAAGTTTTTAATAAAAAGAATGACTTTCTTTAAAAGAAATTGCCTCCCTACTGAATATTCCTCGTGTCTTATATAGCACTCGAGACACTCAGTAGCCAAATATAGAAAAGGACAAATATCAAAAGGTGATAGTACCGAGAGCGAGACGAATATTAAAAGGTAAGAGTCTCGAAAACAGGAATAAATATTAAAGTGCATATGAAGAAAAGAGACCAAGTCACCGCTTGGCTTGGCACAATAACGACAGAACAGAAAAATTTAAATCTGAAGAGTCCGATAAAAGAAGACATGTCGTTTTTTCGACCTTGTTGAAGATAAAACAACGTGTAATGAATTAAATAGTTTCTCATATAAACGCAAAACATGAAGAACGCTGTGAAAAAAAGAGATAATTAATTTTTTTATACTACATTCATCATAGTGAGCCTCTATATTAATACCAAAGAAATATTCACTTCTTGTAATGCAAATTTTTGCCATATTTCACGTTAAACTACATGAAGTTAATGATTTGATAATATTTTTTTAATATATCATAATGGAAATCGTGAAAAAAATTCGCTTTTATTGTTATGATGAGCTTATATTAAAAATTGTTGTACTCAAATACTCAGTTTTTTATTACCTCTTCGAATTCTAATATTAATACTAATTCTTCTGGATTTTGTTGACAATCATAATGAACTTTTATTCTGAAAACAAACCATTAATGCTTTTTTTTTATACACACTTTTAACAAATATCTCGTTAAAAAGAATACAGTGTTATTACCTATCTGTATAGGTCGAAAGGACAATAATATTAACGACCACGTGTAACATAAAAAAATAATAATATTATATTTATCTAATAAAAAGTGATATCAAATCCAATAAGGTTTCAGAGTTCATCGAAAAAAATAAATCTGCTAAATATAGACGTGCTTAGTTAGCAATTATGGAGTAGAACCAAGATGAGCAATAGAAAAACGTTCGTCAAGTGCGTTAATGCAAAGAATAAATAAATACACACAAGAATAATGAGTCAGCATACGAAAAATACTAACATATAAAGTATGATTGCAAATCGTATTATGTTTTTTTTCTTATGTAGAAAGAGAATAGACTTGAAAATATCTCAGCTCTACCAATGAATATTTGACGTCAGATACAGATGCGTCATATCAAAACAGGTAAAAAGAAGATAATAAAATAGATTGCACTCATTATCAGTTTTATTTTATCATGATTTTTTTTTCTCTTATGATGAATAATTATACATATAAATAGACGAGAAATATTGCTACATATTCAGTGTATGAAACCAATATTATCAAGTAAGTACAATGAGAAATTTTCAGCGAGACATCGTATATTTTTATAATAGGTTTCATCCATTGAAAAACCGGAGGTAATAGTTTTTGTTACTATTTACTTTATATATCTTAGTCTGTGATGCTTCTGAAAATTATATTACACAATAAATACTTACATAGATCGTTTTTTCCCAGAGGAAAACAGTATATTTAAGTGCAAATAAATCTTGTCATTTATTTTTATTGACTTGAATTCATTTCAAATGAAAATTCAAAATATACAACAATAATTATAGTAGACACTCGCTTGTTGTAATTTGAGCTTTAGAAATAAAAAAGAATTCAGCTTTTCCACGATATTGTTATGTATTTATAGATTTTATATAATAAAGAAGTAAACAAATTACACCAAGGTTTAATATTTATGGTTAATTCTTATCTATTTTACAGTTGATATTATTCATGGGCTGTATTCTGATGTAGAACTTCATAAATATTGTGAATTCTAATTTAGGCTATTATATCACTGGTAGAATGATCTTTTCTATTAAAAATCATTCTCATTGATATGTTTTGCTTTGCACAATTAAATTACAATCAGTCTACTTTCAGATTGTAACTAAAAAATTCTATTATTCAATAGATATGGCGAAGACGAATATTATTCTTATACCTGATTTAATCGGTACTTGTCCATTCAAAGTTGAATGTAATCCAGCATATGAAACAGTATCAGATGCAACAGAAGCTTGGATTGACTCTTATGGTATTCCGTACAAAGAAACGACACACAAATGTAATCTCGCGACAGCATTATGCTTTCCGCATTGTAGTCAATCTAGGTTACGTGAAATATGTGAGCTATGGGTATTACTTATACTGGGCGACGACATTCAAGATAGTGTTCCTATTTCAGAAGATGCTGATCGATCTAAACAACAATTATACAAGAATATGGTGGAATCTTTGCAGCCAAGCGGTTTATTCAAACCATTAACACCATTCGCTGCCGCTCTTCATGAGTGGTGGCAGCGAATTCTCATCAATATTACACCTGGCTGTCAAGAACGTTTTCTCGTCAGCTTTCGAGCTGCTATTAAAGCTACACTTCTCCAATCTGCCAATCAAAAGAATCGTCGAACTGTTCCTGACTTAGAAACATACATTAAGTTTCGTCGAGATGCAAGCTTTGCATTTATGGTGTTAAACTGTATTGAGTACAGTCTCGAACTTGATTCACTTGATGAATGCCTGGCAAATGATACCTTCAAATGTCTTGTCGATATTGCAAATGATGCCATTTCTTGGGCCAATGTAAGTTATTTTACTCAAAATAAGCTATTTTCAGACGTGGAGAATTAAACATAACTCAAGAAGATATCTGCATAGTCAATAGTATCGAGTTACTATGTATTTAGGAAGCTACGATTCGAAAAAGCCTTCAGATTAGATATATAATACTGCTTTCAATTTTTTCTCAAACGATATATTGAATCATATTCTTTATTAAGTTGCTATCTTCTTTTTTCTAACAGGATATTTATTCATTCAATAATGAACAATCTCAAGGTGATTATAATCTCGTCTCGGTGCTTATGCATGCTGATCCATCGCTGAATATTCAACAAGCTATAGATCGAGCTGGACAGATGGTTATCGATCGTTACGCTGACTTCGAACGTGTTCAAAGTGAATTAATTTCATGGGGTACCAAAATTGATACTCAAGTGGAAAAATTTGTCAACGGTTTGGCTGCATCAATTATTGGGACTATTGTGTGGAGTTTCGGAACGCCTAGATATTTTGGAACCGAAAGAGAAGAAGTTAAGAGAACGAGACGTGTCACATTGCTAGCACCTGAAGCATCTATGCAAGAAAATCTCACTGAAGGGATAAGTAAAAAAGCGGTAGAAAGAAACTAATTTTAAACGCAGGTACAAATATATTTAATTTTTTTTTAATTTAATAAAGTATACCAATAACTTATAGTCTATCTTTAAATATTATTCAATCTACGGAGCAATCTGAGTTCACTCTAAAAAGAAAAGAATATGGCTGGGAATATCTTGTTAATAAAATAGAATTTGACAAAAACTTAGCAGTATTCAGTAATTGATAGTATTCATAGAGAATAGCTTAATATTTATTGAAGTAATCAAGGAAAGAAAATGAACTAATAAATACAAATATATAATGAGAATTGAACACTTTATTTAATACTGTCCGATTAATTAATGAAATATAATAGAATGGTACGAATTGAAATAACTAAGACAAGAAATTGGCTCTATAAATCAACACGAGTTCGTAGGCGACAGAAGGCGATCAATGAAATAATAGCAAATGGAATCGATATTACACCAATTAATAGTAAGATGAGAGGATAAAAAGTGGCGGGACCATACCATGTTAATTCAGATCGTTTTTTTGAATTATACCAACATGGATACGAAGAATCAACCTAAATGAAAGAGTATTCAAAGTAAAATTTTATTCTAACAGTTTGACGTTGTCTAAAATCGTTATAGTAAATATAGAGTTACAAATAAAGAAGTGATTACTGACGTTACATACCTTGTATTTTTGAGATGTGCTTTCTATATATTGATAAGATTTTTCTGCATTGCTTCTTATAGTTTCTTTAAATGTTCCATTTGGACCAAAGTCAACGTGCCAGATTGCTTGATAACACGTTGTATATCTTGTAGTTTTCACCCCTTCTGCAATACATCTAGGCTTAGTCTCATAGGTCGCTGATCGAACACGACAAGTATCCTTTACATAGGATCGCATTTTATTATGTTCTTGAAAATAGAGTGGACCACCAACTGCAAAACAGACAACGGTAATACCAAGAAAAAAACATCCAATACCGAGTACAATCTTCGCCAATTTAGGTCTGGGGCATGATTCCGCCATATAAAAAGAATCTAGAAAAATAAAAATAGAATCATAATTCATTTTTTATCTATTAAAAAAATATAATGAAAATCATGCAGATGATGAAATCCTTATGTATTAACAACATTAAACTATTGATAAAAATTCATATTTACTTTGCTGTGTTATTTGAAGAACGATGATATACTAATTGATTGATCAATTGTCCAATCTACTGTAATGAGAATACTCTAAAAGAATAGATTTCGTAAACAAACAGTAGTTTTTATATGACAACGAATTTTTCTTTCAATTTTCTCTATAAATGACCTCGCTCGTATGTAAGAGAACATAACAAAAAAAGAAAAGAGAAAGTGAAGAATGACGACACAAATCAAATATATATAATTATCGCAATGTAAAAGTCTATGAATAACAGACTTGCACAACATTCCATCGTCAACTAAAGAATATATAAGCAAGAAAAGAAAAAAAAGTGAAAGTAGGTTATGATGAATAGAACTATCGAACATAAAGCAAAATGTGAAGAAAAAAAAGAAAAAAAAATATCGAAAAGAAAAAATGTAAATGTTTGCAACCTGAAAAATCTAGGGATTACAAAATTGACACATTATTTTATTTTTACTGATTCATCTTGCACTATTTCTTGATTCTCCATGTTAAGGGAATTATTAACACATTTAATAAAGTTATTTATCTTTGAAGGTGAGGTTAAGATTCTGATTCATTCTGGCAACCGTAACAAGAAAGAAATCATTTTTCAATTTTGAGATAAAAACAAAGTATCACAAAAATAGAAAATATCTTTCTTGTTTTTACTTATTCATAAGATATTAATTCATTTTACTGTTCTCGGAATTGAAAATATAATCGAGATTTAAAATTAGCCATTCTATGAATACAACGAGTTCTAACATTTAAAATAATCATTTCAATTCTATCGACTAAATTGAAATAAATAATCGCACTAACGTTTAAATTATATTTAACAACAATTGAAACTGACGAAAAACATATCTGTATATATGCCACGTGCGAAATAAAATGGATAAAAAAATCAAGAATTATACTATTTTGCAGTCATGATCACTAACGCATAGATTATTGTCTTTTACCTTAACGTAATGAATCTAAATAGTGATATAAAAAATTTAAGAAGCGCATATTTTTATCTTTTCTTTACCGATACATGAACTGTACTTTCATTTAACAGAAAAAATTATTACTAAATGCTTCATTCGTCACCTACATAACTAATACACTAGTCGACGTTCTTGTCCTCTTCTTTCCAGGTTCTTGCTTTTCTTGCTTTTCTGACAAGATTCTTGTGTTCAGGCAAGATTCTTTTCGACAGGAAAGTAAAAAGAATCATACAAGAATTTTCAGTTGACAAGAATCTAGTCTGAACAATCAGAAATAAAAGAATCAGGCAAGAATTATAAGATATTCAAGATATGTTAATATTCAGACAAGAATCTTTTTCCTCTCTTTAAAAAGAATCTTGACTGAAGTTCAAGATAAAAAGAAACTGGAAAGAAACACAAGATATTTTAAATTTCTTAATATTTAGACAAGATTCTTGTAATAGAAAAGAAAACAGATTCTTGTCAGCTTTTCAAGATGAACGGCACGTGATGTGGTCTTTGTTTATCACATATATAAAAGCATTAGCTGACCGTTATTTATTCATAATTATTATTGGCTCGATAAGTATAGTGCAAATTTACTTAGATTATTTTCTTTTTCTAAAGCGTTTATTTAATTTAAACGACATCTAGTAAGTTATTATTTTAAATGGATGTGTAGTAAAAGTTTATTTTATATGAAGAAAACAATGGAATATACGATATCCATTTTCTCATTGTTTACTGAAAGCAATCCTTATTGAACATATTTTGATATTTTTTTAATTCATATCTATATATTTTATTTTTTTTCTAGATTTTTCATTATCGATAAAAGTATTACATATAATGGACGAAGAAAATATGGATTTATTTAAAAAACTATTGTTTGATAATCCTCTTCGTATAGGTAAAATTTTAAGAAAATAAATAATAAAAATTTTTCTTTAAATTTTTTTTGTGCTAAAAATCAAAACAATTTTATGAATATGTTAAATTAAAGTAGTTTTTTGTTCTTTCATATTTTTTTGTACATGGTGTGAAATGCTTATAATAAAACGATATGAGAAAGGTAGTAATAATCTAAAAAAAGGCTTTTTTGATATGATCAGAATCAGGCAAGAAGCCTAAGAAATCAGAAACAAGCAAGAAAATCAAGAAGGATAAGAATCAGGCAAGAAAGTAAGAAAGATAAGAATCAGGCAAGAATTCAAGGAAAACAAGAACCTGGAAAGAAAAGGACAAGAACGTCGACTAGTGTATCATCTAGAATTTATATATCAAACTAAAACAAAATACGCATAAAATGATCAGTGGTAAAATCAATTATTGCGACATAAATAATAGAAATTGGACACAAAACCTTTTGTGATATTTTCAATACCAGACGAGCTGAAAAATAAAAATCTTTTTACTAATTTAATTTCTAGGTGAAGTAAGTGAATTTTAATGGGCATGTCGAAGTGGCAATATTCAACGAGTGAAAGAACTATTAGATAGTATCTCGTTTGGAGATTTAAATCAATTGAAATGTAATACAAGTATTTTACTTCATGCTAAAATTGTTCATCTTCTCTTACAAGAATATGATTGTTTATGAAATCAGATTAATCATCATGGTTTAACAGCTTATGAAGAAGCAGAAACAGAATATTTTCGAAAGTTATTTTATCGTACTGGACGTATTAATGGTTTTTGTGATGATAAATCTATTGTAAATGAATCTGATATATTTTAAATCAATGTCGAAAACAACGATCACGTTGACGGTGGCGATGATTATGATGATAGTGATGTAATTAAAATATTTAAGGGTATTCGAGTACTAAAGAAATACAACAAATCTTACGCTTTTTTAAACCTGCTCTCGATTAAAACTATTCACTAAAATAGCAAATTGGAGGGTTTAGGACAGTTGCTCGCTAGGACACTTGCTCATTAGGACATTTGCTCGTGTGGACAGTTACTCGTATGGACACATGCTCGCCGGACAGTTGCTCGCTAGGACACTTGCTTGCCAGGGTGTGGGTGTTAAAACAATAGAATACCCGTATCCACATCCTCACCTGCACCCTCACCCACACTGATACCCACGCCCATATCCACATCTGCACCCTCACCCACACTGGCATCCAAACCCGCACCCATGCTGACACTCACGCCCACATCCACATCTGCACCCTCACCCACACTGGCATCCAAACCCGCACCCATGCTGACACTCACGCCCACATCCACATCTGCACCCTCACCCACACTCATACCCTGGCGAGCAAGTGTCTTAGCGAGCAACTGTCCGGCGAGCATGTGTCCATACGAGTAACTGCCCACACGAGCAAATGTGCTAGTGAGCAAGTGTCCTAGCGAGCAACTGTCCGGTGAGCAAATGTCCGTGCGCAACTGTCCCACGAGCAACTGTCCTGCGAGCAACTGGCCGTCACCCCAAATTGGAGCTATCCGCTAAATGTTCTTAATAGACTAATTGACGAGCACTTTACCATAAGTCATAAACACTATAAAAAATACACGTTGTCAGCTAAAAAGGCTTTAATAGATGGTGAAATCGAAAAATTAATTCGTTTATATACACTTTAAACACCTTTCTAGTGTCATAGCTGAAGAAAACAATATTAAAGAATTCTATGGCACCTTTGTTCTATTATATGATAAACTAAAGGGACAACATTTTCGAGGTACATATTATCGCGGTGTTAGAATAACCGAGCACATTATATACGCATATCGATGGTCTTTCAAATATCAAGGTATAATTGTATCAAAAACTCGAGATGTTGCTACAGGATCTTGAGGGTGGGTGTCGGTGTCGGTGAGGATTAATGCTTTCTCAATCCACATTCACATCCATACCCTCACACTCAAATCCACCCATACTCACAATCTCACCCAAATCCACCCATATTCACACCCTCAAAAAGTAAAGTATTCTACGTCAAGAGCTGTTGTTGAAAGTTTGTGTTAATTTCTCTTTTGTTGTTTTTCGTATCCGTGTTATTCAAAGGATTTAGTCAAATAATGACTTTTACCTAAACATACAAAAATATGATGAATATGATTTTCTCGAAGTGGCATAGAACATAAGCCTTCATCATCAATCAATAAAAAAGCCTACCAAAATGAGTCGTGCTTCATACTGTTTATGAACTATTTCTTTGAATTATTGATTAATATAAGTAAATACCTTTCAACCAAGTTAGTCAAAATCATGCATTGTGTATGAATTTCAAACATGTCCTTTTGAGCGACATCCGATTAATGGATGATGTAGGCAGAAATCGAAAAATAATAGCGTCAACTTAACAGCGGCATAGATTGAGGGTGGGTGTGGATGTGGGTGAATATATGGGTGTAGACGTGGGTGTGGGTGCAATAAATAAAATATACCCAACCCCATATCTACACCCACCCTTCGTAAAGGGTGCTACGAAAAGTCATTCACTCGACCTCTTATGCTGTATGACGATCGTGCTCCCGGATTTAGATAGAAGTGATTCCGAGCCGCAGCTGACTTCATCATGTTCAACATTTTCGTATATGATGACTACTCCTTCGTCCTTACGTTCACTCACTTCCATATTCTTCAGATGGATCCTTGATACTCTTTGGGATATATTGAAATTCATAGAATCTCCTTTTTTCCTCTGGATAAAAAAAAATTATCTTGAAAGAAAACTTCATTTTGCTACTCTTTCATTATCTAAGATCTATAAAACTAAGCACGAATGTAAATGAAACTACTATCTTATTCAGATAAATATTCATCCAGTAGAGATGTTTTTTCAGAAAAATGAGCTGTCTACGACGAACATCACTTATCATAAATGATAAATGCATGAGTTTTATTTTATTTAATAGAAAAATGAATAAAAAAACATT